CGAGTGTGTTTTTTATATTAGGTTAGCATGCTAATTGGGCCCCAGTATCATGGGTATTACCCAAAATGTCAAATACAGGCATGAAGGGTAGAACAACTATGGGCCACTAGTAGGAGAGTAAACCTCAATCTCCTCATGCTTGCACAGTCTCACGCTGATAGTGACCGTGCAATCTTTTTTTTTTTTTTCATTTTCTTTTTCTCTTTCTCCAAATTAAAAAATTTTCTTCCCCATTTTCAAACATTTGAACGGAACTCAACTTCACGTACGTTTGCTATCTAAATAAAATTTAGCGAGATTGTGACGAGTTGAATTCCATTTCTTTCTTAAAAAGAAATTTGCCTAGTTCAACCAAGGGTGTGATACCTTGGAATGGGCATAGATTTTCAATGACTTTCATAGAATAAAGATATTAATTGGTATCATAACTTTGCTTGGTTTAATGTATACATAAATGGGAATGAATAAGAAATTTCAATTTTATCCTTCACAAAACCACCTGCTGAGTGCTGACTTTTTTAAATCTGCCGCTGACTTCGTTTTGATACATTATTTCTATCACTGCCGCCTCAGTAAAAATAAATCCGAGATTGAGAATTTAATCTATCAAAATCATAAATTTTATTTATCCCTCAACATAAATAAACCAGAGAATTATAATTTAATTTATCAAAATCCTAAATTCAATAAATAGAATTTATAGTTTTGATAGATTTAATTACCAATCTCAGATTTATTTTTATTGAGGGGGCAGTGAAATGGAGAAATAATACAACAAGACGGAGTTAGCTGCGGATTTAATCGGAGCCAAACTGTTTAAGGATTTTAAAAAAAATAAGCGAATTAATTGGAATGTAAATTTTTGTCTTGAAAAAGATAATTTCTAGATTTAATGGTATTTTTGTCTTTTCACACTAAGATTTACTGATGCAGGGGGGCAATTGTCCTTTGTACATAACTCGTGGAGGTTTTTGTCTTCATAAAAAATATAGAGGGGAAATTTTTCCTTTGGACATAACTGGAGGGGATTTTGTCGTTTTCCCAAAAGAAAAAGAGCATTCAGCTTGATTTTGAAACGTAAAAGAAAGAAGGGCATAAATAAGTCAATTTATTTTTCAATATATCACACCCTTCAAGTTGCCAAGGAATGAGATTGTTGGAGTCATTCCAACTTTTGTGGGCCTGGCCCATTTTCAATCCAGGAACCAATCAATAAAAATTTAAAAATTGGGAATGACTCTCACAAGTTGGATTTGACACCACCCAACCAGATAGCTCCTTATAACTATCAAGTTGGTATTAGACTATTAGTTGTCAAGTATTTGAAGAATGTGATCAAAAGAAGGAACTCTTCCCTTTCCTTGATGTGCAACCACACAAAGTGACATAGTAGCAAGGCTATGTTTGATAATCACTTAATATAATGACTTAATTTATTTAAATACTTAATAAAATTAATTATGTTCGATAATCTCTACTAAAATGTCTTAATTAATTAAGTTATGAACTAATTAAATACTTATAAATTAAGTATGTTTGATAACTAAAATTTCACTGTCTGAAATAATTAAGTGCGTTTGAATGGCCAGTTCAATTGTGAGTAAGAAAATAAGTAATAGGTCTACCACTTATTACTTATCACTTAACACTTAATCTCTGAAATGACTCATTTTTTCTTTTCTTTTTTTCCTCTTTTTTTCTATTTTCTTTATTTCGGCGCTTATTTTTACATTGTTTTGAAATTTTTATTTCTTAAAATAAATTAGTTAAGAATGCTTAAATTTGAATTTATATACGAGTATAAAAAATATCGAACTTTCAAACTCAAATTAAACTAATTTTATTACATAAAATTTGCTAAATAACAAGGTATACATATATCGATATATGTAAATAATCTAAATTTAATTATATATTGATTATTTATCAAGTGCAAGATCTACTTTCATTATATATACCACAAATTTATTTTAAAATTATTATTTTATTATTTAGAACAAAATATTAGTTATTTTTCTATTTAAAAGAATTTTATTTATGATTCAACTTTAATGATATTAAAAATTTAAATAACTTTCAGACCTCAGTATTCAGATTCAGTCTTCAAACTTCAGACTTCAGTGTTCAGACATCAAATTCAGATGTTTTATCAAACAATATAAATTCAGTCTTCAGATTTCAGACTTCAGTGTTAAGTGTTTGTTCAGATTCAGACTTCAATGATTATCAAACAGAACATAAAACATGCTATAGAAGTTGAACAAAAAAACGGAAAAAAAAAGAGAAGAAAAAGAGCAGGGTGCAACTCTTTTTTTTTTCTTTTTTTTTTTTATTTATTTTGCCTTCGTAATATAAAATGTTAGAGATTCCTCACAATGGCTTTGTTTAGTACTTCAGGGCAGTTCAGTTTTCAGCAGAGTGGGAGCATCTATGAATCAAGTAATCGTAAACATGGTGCAAGTTTCAAATTTATCGGGTTTGACCGCAGTTTTGAGCGATTCCGGCACCTAGTAGACATAATTTGAAAACGAACAATATATATCAAATTAATTTATGCGACCAAATATTTTTATGGCCATCTATTACAGAATTTTTTCCTTAAATATATATGAAAAAAAAAACCTGGACAAAAATAAAGCTTTTTAAAATCTTGTGGACAAATTTATATGCCCCGGATTTAAGAAATCCGAATGGGGGCAAAACTCGGATTTCGGAAATCCGATCCCAAATCAACTCGAATTATTAAAATCCGACTTTGTGTTACGTAAATCCGATATTAAGTTAATGACAAAAATTAGTGTAATTAATCTAAATCCGGATTTTATAAATCCGATTTTATGAATAAAATATTAATTTCCGGATAGACAAAAAATAATGTGTTGAAAAATTAAATTTGGGCAGAACTCGGATTACCGAAATCCGAATCTGCTCTGTTTTCTGAAAAATGGTGACTCCCGGTTGGCCACGGACTCGGATTTCAAATCAATCCTTTAAAAGTCCGGGTTCGGATTGCAAATCCGAGTCTTTGTCGAATCGAAAAAAAATTGGGTGATTTTCACCAGTCCTAAACATGTTTACAAGACCAACAACAATGAAACATTGGAAAACAGAATTTAATAACAACAAAACAATAAACGGCATTCGATTAACAACAAAATAAATCAAGTTTCATAAAAGTTCAATACAAAAACTACTATAAATGTCCAAAATAATGAAATGTCTCATTTTTTCCCTTTTCCTTTATTGTGCGCATCCGAGTGTATTTGTTTGGGCCTGTCGGATCCTGTCTCCCTCTTAAGATACGTGAGTATTGAACTTTGGTGTGGTTGCGTTGTCCACCAAACCGAGCCTCGATTTGGGGTTGAGATTGGGACTCCCTATGGTGATAAATTTGACTCCGGTTGTGGTTGCGACTGTCCACCAAACTGAGTCTCAGGTCCACCAATGTCAAACTGAGTCTCGGGTCCACCAGCTTCTTCAAAATGAGTCTCGAGCTGGATGCGCGAGCTTCGAGAGGAATGTGTTTGATCCTCATTTTGTTGACCCTCAGTTTGTTGTTGCGATATCCGAGGGGGGATTGTGACCTTTCTCTTTCTTCCTCCTCCAATCTTATCTCTTGACCACGGTTTCGCTTTTTTAACCGGCGGAGGTTGTGAGGGCAAAAATGGATCTTCATCAACCAGGATTTGGGTATCATCCACCTCCATCTCATCATTTGCGCCCAAGGTTAAAGCAGCATGTGTTTGATTGATGATATCGTCCAAATGCTTGTCAAGTTCTTCGTCTAGGAGATTATCATCTTCTCGTTTTTCTCTAAACCTCTCGGTACTCACGCGAATGTTGTTCAATACTTCACCCTGAAAAGAAATTGGGACGTTAATTAAGAGAGTAAAGTTCTAAAAAAAAATGAAAAAAAAAATGAAAACATAAGAAATAATAAAAGAAATCTACAATTAACTCACATATAATTTCACGCGGCTCGAAGAAGTCTCGTATCCTTGAGGTTCATAATTACCGGGATTGGATATCAATCTGACAGTGTTCACCATGAACCATTCATAGTACCCCTCATATACGGAACCATGATCTCCTTCCTCCAAATCTCGTAGCACGAACTCTTCTCTCCTATTCCAATGACGGCGTACTGCGGAATACGCATTAAATGTTCACCATTTACGCAACCAGGATATGGAACCAGGATCTTCTTCACCATCCTCACTTTCCACATTAAATGTTCTGCACCGCACAGCCCACGTCCTTGGACTACTCGCGGCGACCGTATATTCCCTTTTATGATGGATATTCCATAATTTCACAGCATGCTTTTCTTCTGATTGAGATTTGAAACAAACACCAATGTCCATTCCTTCGGGCGTCTCATCCCACATCTTAAGAGCAAACTCATCCTTGTCTACACATGAGGCATCCCAGTTCCCCATCTTACTATATACATGGCGTCGGGCGAATAGATTACAATCCCTTTCCTCATTTTCCAACCTTTCATCATCACTTTCTTCAAAATCACTCTCTCCAGAGACATCACAATCTTCTTCGCTTTCACTTGGAGCTATGTAATCGGAATCCGACTATTCCCGGTAGTCATTTTGTGCAAATAAAGGTGTCTCCTCTTCATCACGGTTTCGAGAAGTACTAGCACGTTCCCCCCTTCGAAAATAGCCAAATGCCACGTTTTCCAAACTCGCTTCTCTTTCTTCTTGAGTGATATCTTCCAAATCTATGTATAAATCCAAACATGACATTGGATCTACACGGTTCATGAACTCTACATGCGAATCATTCTTGATCTTCACTACACGCCTACCACCGGGGACTATCGAAAATCAAAGAAAGGTGGAGTTTCACGTGTGCTGGATCCCAACCAAGGATCATACAAATCTTACTAATCAATCCCTCATATGACAACCTTTCTTCGACAAACAAACCATCATCCGGCATATTCGAAAAAGTGTTGATGCTACCGTTCTCTATCACATACTTACTTGTATGATACAAATTAAGCATGTATGATACATTACGTGCCATTGATAACTGTTAAAAAAACACATCAATAACTAATCATTTCTTAATAACAAAATCAACAAAATACACCATACATTCTCTAAAATACACCATACACCATATACCATATATACTCCAACAAATACACCATACTAAAATACTTATAAATCAACTTCGATATCTCATGAACAACTATGATTTCTCATCTCTAACCTCAAAATCAACACCTAAAACATCCAAACAACCAACCAACATAAACCCTAATCTATCATACATCATTCTAACAATCAAAATAACACAAAAATAAACTAAATAACATGGTTTTGCAATCTAACCTCTTTCAAATAACGATTTCCACGTATCTAGAGGCAAGAATGCGTCAAAAACTTCAATTCGCCCTTGTTTGAGCTGCAAAAAACAGAAAATCCAACTCAGTTCTCGAATGAGAACTGCCTGAAATTTTTTTTCTTTTATAGCACGTTAAACTCGGATTTACGAAATCCGAGTCTGTAAGTAACTCGGATTTTCAAAATCCGAACTACGTTAGATTCGGATTTCATAAATCCAGATTTAGTCAATTCAGGATTATTTTATTAATTTTTTGGTCCTCCAATTTAAGTCACATGCCTACTTCCACCAACCAAAATTAAAGGCATCCGGATTTCGCAAATCCAAATTCGTCAAACCGGATTACGGACTACCGGTTTTTTGGATTCAAAAATTTCGCGCCGCGATTTATTAATTTTTAACTAAACTCGGATGTTACAAATCCGAGCTTTACTGTTCATTTAAGAACTAAAAAAACTATTATTCAACAAAATTTATGAAATTATTATTTTATTATTAAGTATGAATCTGGATTTGCAAAATCCGAATCTCTAATTTTAATCTAAACTCGGATTTCAGAAATCCGAGCAATATAATTCTGTCCACAAATATTCTGAAAAATTTAAATTTGTCCACGTTTATTTTATTTAATTTTTTTTGGGAAAAGGCCCTCTATTACATGCATATTTCTATCAAATTTGGTTAAGAATGGTTATTATTTAATTCAACGACACATTTCCGAAAAATGCAATGCCAAATCATCCAAATTCTTGTAAGAACTTCCACCTTCCTGAACTGCACCCAAAGCTGCTCTCTGAAATTCCAGGGCTCTTCTCCTCTCCGCCTCAAAATCTCCTACACCTTTAGCCAAAATACCAGCCAGTTTATCCGAATCCGGCACGGTTTGATTACCTTCACAAACTCTGCATCCAACCTTCAACTCATCCACAATCAAAGTTGCATTGGCAAACTGATCAGCACCCATCGGCCAAGTCAGCATCGGCACTGCGGCCGTGATTCCTTCCAGGACCGAATTCCATCCACAATGAGTCAAAAACGCACCAACACAAGGATGCTTCAAGATCAAAACCTGTGGCGCCAAACCCCTGTTCACTAGGCCTCTTCCAGCCACTCTTTCTTCAAAACCAGATGGAATTATTTCATCATTTTCACTTCCTTCATTTCCTTTTGTTGGACCCTTAATTGACAAAATGAATCTAACTCCACTCTTCTCCAAAGCCGAAGTTAAAGCCTCCATTTGGTCACGAGACAGCGCAAATTGAGTCCCAAAACACACATAAACAACAGAATTATCAACCTTACAGTTATCTAACCATTCTAAAACTTCACTAGCTGGAATTGAACTAGATCCAGGTGGGACAGATTGAGATTGATGATGATTCTCAGGTGGTGGCAATATAGGACCAACAGCCCACACCCTGTTATGACCCAAAGACTCCTTAAGATGATCCAAATATGTTTTCTCCAATTCAGTTACCGTGTTAATCACAAGACCAAAACTAGCTAAATTAGAAAGAAAACTAGCCTTGATTGTTTCATGAACAGGGTTGTTCTCGTTTGCTATGTAATCACGGTAAACGGTGGATAATTGCCGCCATGGATAAGCTGGGCTATTTGGGAGTTTCGGGAAATGAATCAATTCATTCTCGTTTCCGGGATTTTCTTTTCTTGGAAAATCGCGCCAAAGGGAGAAAATTACAGACAACGCCAACCCACCAGATGGAGAGAAAACATACCCGGGAATTCCGAGCTCGGCGGCGAGGCCATTTGTCCAACCCAGAAAGAAATCGAAAACGATTGCCGTCGGTGGAGAAGGATGCGAATGGAACCACAGCTTAACCGGGTCGGAAAGCCGGGTTAAGGCAATCATCATAGCCCGGAATGCATCGAGGGGAAGGTCCTTGGTGTTTTCGACTCCGGCGGGGATTGAAGGGTGCTCCGGAAAAGGGCAAACGAGGGTCTGAATAGATGGGTTTTCCGAAAGGATTGGGGATAAGAGATGAAGGTTTTTTGGGGTGATTAATATGGTTATGTCAAGGCCACGGATTGAGAGTTGATGGGTGAAATTCAGCAGAGGCACCATGTGTCCCTGTGAAGGGTATGGAAAGATCAAGATGTGAGCTTTTTGCTGGTTCATCTTTTCTCCTGAAACACAAAATTTTTTGATTTGTGGGGTTCTTTTATTTCGGATTGAAATGAAGGGAAAGCTATGGATTTGTGCAAGCCTGGAAATTAAGGAGGAAGAAGAAGAACGAACAAACAAACAAACTATAAGATACCTTTGGGTTGGTGTAAATGCGTGAATCAGACAGAAAAAAAGAAGAAAAAGAAATGTGGAGAAAGGTAGAAGAAATACTGTCTGAAATTGGACCATCAGCAATGTTTGTTTTGAGTCAACTTTTTTTAATGGTAAAAAAGAGAGATTAGGTTGACTGGCCAACCTTTGACTGTTGTTGCTCCATGTTTGGTATTAGCGTATGAAATCCTGGCCCTTAAATCTTAATCCATTCTCTTTACTAGTACAAACAAGCAAGATCTTTCAGATTGGACGATATTATATTACTCCCTCCATTTTTATTTTTATGTTTTTCTAGAAAATTCATCAAAATCAAAAAAACATTAAATAATGTAGTTAAAATATAAGAATATTTTTATTTATTTTCTATACAATTTATCACAAACCAATAAAAATTCATTATTTAATCTCCAATACAAGGATAATATTGGTAAAAATGGTCAAATGTGTCTCGATTTGTGAAAACGACATATATTTAAAAAAATTCACCAAACTCTAAAACGACTTATATTTTAAAATAGAGGGAGTACGTAAAATAAAGTGCAATAATAGACTTTTATTAACCCACAATTTAAGCAAAGTAATTTAGGAATTAGGACCCCATGCCACATTACTCAATTTATTACCAAATCGTGATTCTCGGTACTTTCCAAAAAAGATCATTCATAAAGTTTTACTCATCTGGTACTAACGATATTTTCCTCAAAAACACACACAACCAAGCATAATCAAACTTAATCTGGATCCGTGATGAAGTGCATCACTACAGAGTACATTACAGAAAAAAGAATTAGATGGGTTACAAGTTTACAACATTCAGTCAAATGGAAAAAGCAATTAGCTTTGAGATATATGTGTGGGTGGAAGTGGGTTTGCATCCCATTCACAAAATAGAAGCCTCAAAAGAAAAATGCGGCTTCTCAATGTTGTCATGGAAGCCTCTTAAAACTTTATGGACAAAATAGTGTTACACCGAGTGATTACAAAATAATGATTGATGAACAATATAATACGTCTGTATGGGAACTCTTCTGTGCAATCCCAAATATTTTAAAATCTACATGTACAATGTTTGATCCAGGCATGAAAATGTTCCCCTTAGAAGTTTAAAGGGACATCAGATGAATAATCAGCAACCAAAAAGAATAATTTTTAATCACCGTCTTGTCATTCTAGCTTCTGCAAGTTTTGATCCTCTTAAGAGCTTGACCAGGACAATCTTCCCCTGTGCTTATAACACTAGATCTTGGTACTGCTTGATGTCTCGATGGCATGTCCATGTCCTGGGAAGTTTTAATCAAGTGTTTTTCAGTCAGAAGGCAAACCTCGGAAGTTAGAACACGCAACAGTAAGCAAATGAGATCATTGAGATGGGTACCTTAATTATTGAGGCTGATGAATTAACTCTACCATTGGCCCTTTTCCCAAGATCAATCTGAACTGAAATATTCGCCTGAGACAGATCGATCCCGGAACTCTGCAACGCTTGTGTCAACTTACTGAACAACCTGCTTGTGAATATTTCAAATGCAATCAGACAAATATGCATGACCATCCTACTGAATTTGTTTTCTGAACATTTTACAGGATAAAACTTCTAACAATAAAAAAGAAGACTAACCCTTGAGAATAAATGCTTGAGATGCTTATTGTACCACTCTCAATAGCTAGTTCCTGGTCTTTCAGCTTATCTGTTATAGTGCTATCCGCTGTAAAAGAGTCTCTAGGCCAAAACTGTGGAGAAGGCTGAGATGCTGTTTGCTCTGCATCAGATACTGGCCTAGATGAAAGCGGTACCGGTGCACTGCTGCTTCCACCAAAAGGAAATAAACTTGGGCCCTGTGACATTGGGATCGATGCTGTAGTATTCGTTGACTCAGGCTTTTCTCTGAAAGGAGAGGGATTGGTCAAGTTGGGTTCAACTACTAGATGATGTCCATTGATCAAGCGTGGTGGAGAGCTACTCACTTTGCCCCCTTCAAATTTTGCAGGGAGCATTAATGCTGGATTTGACCCCAATTTCATGGCATGATTAGAATTACCAAGGTCCTCACCAGCTCTTGGATTTCTCTGTTACATCAAAGGTAGACAGAACATTAGCAACAATGACAGTTCTTGTATCCTTTGTTCCTTCTTTACTATCAAAGGAAGATCATTCTTTTTGTAGCTTAGATGCAGTTGAGCACCAATAATGAACTGGCGTCAACCTTCAAGCGTTAACTTTAAAGCGTAAACGAGTATAATAAAAATTGCTGAAATGATAAATGCATAAGAAACGTGTACAGCATGTCAGCTACGTACCCAAGGCATCAACTTGGGTGCTTCCTGGTTCCATCCTGGATAAGGCCCTTCGTACTTTTCTACTTTCTCTTGCAGAAATTGGATATATTCAATAACCTGCATTAGCATTTATAATTTGTCAATCCACAATTGATTATAAAGTAAACGGAGATACTATCAGCACAAAGTGTACCTCTAACAAGAATGATGCCTTGTCTCTTTTCTGGTCACTATGAGGGATGATCTCTCTCAGCTTCTGAAATCTGAATAGTGAGTTAGGAGAAAAATTTTCTACATTAGTACCACAAATTCCGAATTAAATTTATCAGTGTAGTTCATATAAAATATTGAGTAAACTAGTGCAAATCAATTCTGAAGAAGAACTAGAGTATTAGTGGTTGCCTGTCATTGATCTTGCTCCTCCTACGTTGCTCTGTAGCCGAATGTTTTGAACGTGGAGTACTTGGCTTCTGATCATTGCTTCTTCCATCAACCTTAACTGACAAGTTGCCTGTCAACGGGAAGCATTTTGGCATCAAAAATTTCAAAATGGAATCCAGGTTGCATCTCTAATGAAAAGAAAAATCTACCTTTTGGATGAGACGTTGGTTCTTTCTTTACAGTGAACTCTTCCTCTTCATCATCGTCGTCATCTTCTTGAGAGTTCTTTGCAGATGTTAGCATGTTCACGAAACCACGATTCTTCGGTGGTGAAGTTGGCCTGCAAAATGATTCATGAGTTAGAAACAGATATTACATTGAATGACAAACAGAAAAATATAGAAATGAATGGACAGAAGAGTCACTGACTGAGATGATGAAAGAGAGCTGAATGATCTTATGTTCGGCTTATGGTTGGAAGAGGATTGTGACGGCCGCTCCAATGATGCTGGCCACTCCCCTGACCCAACATTTATACCTGATTCTGCAAAATACATGAAAATCATTAACAAGAATAAGAAAAAAATGAGCTGTTAGTCAGAAATTACACTGCTTGGTAATCATAGAGGCACACAAGTAAAATATAGTGATCCACTATAAGAATTGATCGTAGGTGTAATTTACAATTCACGATCTCAAATCAGGCATTTTGCAGGAGCAGAAACAGTGATTGAGTTGGAAATGCTACTCAACCAATATCTTTCTTAAAACATTGACAGAAGCATCAAGTCCAAAAAAGTTTACCTCTAAGAACAGGCCTGTCAGCGGCATTATTCTCCTTCCCTGTCTTTCCCTTCTTTGCTGAAGCAGATTCATCCCAAAGAGTGAATCCACTTCCTCCAGTGTATGAACTGCAGTTTGAGTTTTCATCATTGACGTTGTTACTACTGGCTTGTGCCATCATAAACATGTTGTTCCCTTCTGGTTTTGGGAACCTCTGATTGAAATAAGTAATGCTATAAGTCCCAATCCCACCAGGAAGAATATGTTCTACATTTGAAGGAAGAGCTGCAGCCTGTGGAGGAGGCTTTTCAACATCCTTGATCTCGATCACGTCTTCTTCCTTAGCAACATTATTACTACCTTGCTCTAATGGTTGCAAGAAATTATGGGTTTTCAGAAAGCCACCTGCTTTTCAAAAGATATTATTACCCGGGAATTACGTACGAACATAGAAACAAAAATCAATCACCAACCCATTCCTTTCCACAAGCCCCTATAACTATAAAAAGAAACTCCAAACAGCAACAAGAACAAGCAATGTGATGTTTCCTTGAATTTTGAAAATAATTCCACATTCCGGGGAAAAAAATATTGAAATCCCGGAAAAGTTTCACAGTTCTTGATTGAAATCAATGCAGAATTGAATAAGTTGATGGCATTTTGGTCAATCACTGATGAATGATGAGGATGATCATATTCATATGATGTCCCAAATAACACACCTACTCCTATGGAATACATGTGGGGTCCAATTAAAGATTGTCAAGCCAAATCACATCTACCATCTTAAAAATCTTAAAACCAAAATAACCAATTTTTTGAACAAATGAAGCCATAATATCACAAAAAGAACTAAAGTGGAAGAAATCAGGAGAAAGAACTCAGAAAACTGTGAAAAAAGTCCCAAACCCGCCCTTTTGGGATGAAACAGACTGTTTTCAGCAGAGAGAAGAAGCCTATCACTCCAAAAAATGAAAGATTGGGCCCACAAGAAGAAAAGCCTAGCCCAGATCCACAGACAACACAACAAAATCAACATTGGGGTCACGGGTACATTTACTACACCACTCGTGGCTACCCTAAAGTCTATCAAAACACACCCTTTTAGATATTTCATTTTTTACATTTTCCTAAAAAAAATTTCCCCCATATTCCCACTATTTAACGTCAGACAGATTCCGCCAAACTCACACAACCAAACAAAAACACCCCAAATATAATCACAGCAAAAGGGTAAAAAAATTTATTTGCTCATCCCTACAAATTCTAGTCTAACTTTTCTCATTAATATAGAGGAGCCATTTTGGTACTAGGTTATTAGTGTCTTTCTTCTTTTCAATAATACGGGATAAGGATAAAGACAAGAACTCTTGTATATTATAAACAGTAGTTTTCCCTTGATGTCAGGGTAAAATTTTTGATTTTGTGGAGGTGAAAAACAAATAATAAAAGATAATAATGTATCAAATGGAGTGACGAAATAAAACGTGACATGCGAGATGTGAAAAAAAAAGGTATCAGAGGGGGCGAAGAGAAACAAAAAGGTGAAACCTAACAAAAAAAAAAGTGACAGATTCTATGACCTCATCCAAATTGGCAAATAACCTCACTCAGTCATGTGCTGCCAACTGCTACAGAAATTCATGAAGCAAACCAGATTGATGAAAATGAAAAAAAAAAAAATTTATCAAGCAAAACCTTCAACTCTCTCAATCTGGGAAATTTGAAATAGTTACAAAAGATTGCATTTTGCATGGAGGAAATTGGTTATTTTTACCTTGGGGAGACCTGGGATCTTGTTGGGCTACAGCAGGTGAGTAGAGTGAAAGAAAGTCATGTGTTGTTTTCCTTCCTGACATTCAACAAAAAAAATCATCATAACAAACAAATTTTTGCTTCAGAATTCAGACATATTTCCGTTGGATCACAACCACTTATATTATACTATTAGGGGGAAAAAAAAAAAGAGACTCAAATCAAAACAATTTCTTCATTCTTCCACTAAAAAACACATCCAGGATGATAATTCAAAAACATAAGATTACCTTCAGTATTATACGGTCTGGATTGACGCAGCTCCATTACAGAGCAATTTCCACTTCCTTCTGCAAATTTTTACCCAACAGCCCAGATCGAATTACAGCACTAAGATGATGATTCGCAAAACCAGAATTCTCTAAGCTTAGATTCAAAATTTAGAACTCTAACCCAGATCCACCTTCAGACTAAGCCACAACACACAATGTTCAAACTCTCAAAATCAGCCTTCTAAACAGAGTTTAACTGAGGAACACCAACTTCAGCACTCTGCCAATCGAAATTCAACTGAATTATGCCCCCATTCAACTCAAAACCTTCGCCGGAAAGAGGAGGAGATGCAGAATTCTGGTACTATAATGTTGCAGAAAACAGAGAGAAGGATTCGTAAATCGAGAATCAAGCTGACGACACCATGCTCTGGTTCATTTCCATCTCAAGTATGAGGATGAATATTCAAAATTTTGCATAATTCAGCCCAGATTCCTCAAAAAACAAAAAAAGAAAACACCCCAATTCCCCAAAAACGTGACACAGAAGTGATCCAAACACTCACTTTGAAGATTGCTCGCAACAATCCCGGCGGGTCCCTCCCCGTCCCAAAACACAAGAAAACACCCCCACAGGTCCACACAGACACACACACAGTCACACACTTCGTGTATGCGTATTGCGCCTTATACTCCTTGCTCAATTTTGAGATGAACAGAAGGAGAAGAAGAAGAAAATGGGTGGTTGATGACTGAAACAACAACAAAAAAAAACAAATCTTGAAAGGCTCGGATTAGTTTTATATTTTCAATTCTCTCTATCTTTTTTTTTTTTTTCTTTCTGTCTTCCTCTCTGCTTTTTGATTAACGTGGGCTTTCGTAGAAAAGGAGTTTTTATATATATAATGCGAGTGTGTGACTGTGTGTGTGTGTGTGTGTGAGTGTGGGTTGGAAATGGACAGTATATAATTTCTTCGTTTTCGTTTTTCCGAGTAGTACTTTTTACTGTAACCTGTAAAATGTCCGGTTAAAAACTTTGCAAAACGCCGTTACGTTAAAGGAAAAGTTAGGGACTTAACGGCGTTAGTGGGATATCACAATTCATATCTCTGGGGGAGGTTTTTCTGAAAGCCACTGTTAATATTTTGTGACTACTTTAAAGTCTATTATAAAAATACTTTATCAGAAAACATTTTTTAATGTTTTTGATGATCCCGATTAATATGTTTGTTTAAGGTAATGAGTTAGTAAATCTTGTTGGGGTTTGAGCTTTTTGTGTTTTGTTTATAAGTATACTAGTATGAATTGTAAGTTTTGGGATATTTGTTGTCTATTTTACTCAATCACAATAGTTTTTTGTCTAGTACTCCTGGAGGTGTGGATCGACAGTGGACAGTCTTCATCAAGGAAGATTAATTAAATTTCGGTCCTTCCGTCGCATAGTTATTGTTCAATTTAAATTTTCATTTTAATTTAAAATATTAGAAGTGAAATCTCAAACTCGACAATAATTTTGAGATGGAGGGAGTATATTTTTTCATGCTCACGTTATATTCTTTCCGTTTTGAAAACAAATATTATTTGTTATATCGGAATGAAAAAAGTATTAGAATTATTTGACGGAAATGTTTAATCTCTCCTTTTTATTTAATTATTATTATATATTTCCTGTTTATAAAATTTTCTGTGTACGACAATTCTTACTAATTTATTCCCTAAATTATAAGTTTCTGACTTAAAATATGAGATAATTGAGTTTATTCTTATTTAACTTAATATAAACTGTAACGTCTCTTGCGTTAAAATGCATAGTATTTCTTTCATCAGGAAATGATCATTTAGTTTGAATTTTAATTTTTAATTTAAATTATACTAAAAGTGAATATTCAATCTGGATAATTTATTCATTAGAGTATAACGAACATTTGGGATTATCTTACCCACTGTTTTTTTTTCTTTTTTTTTTCTCTTTGCATACCTAATGTTACCTCCTGTTTACTTTGGATCAACAATGGAATTTTTTCAACCTGTGGGTGGATAGTTACACTTTTCTCAATATGTTCTTTGATAGGCCTACACTTGAAGTGAAATATGAATATGAGTATACGTTATTAATATTTTTAAGAAATTCAGTTCCATGCATCTGAATTAGCTAGGTTTTAGATTCAGTTCCCCAAAAAGAAAATCTTGACAATATATTTCATTGTGATCTTTGTATATAAATCGTGTACGGCTAGAAAACATGAAAAAGGGTTTATTATTAATTTCAGGTTCGTCCAAAATGGAACTGGATCAAGAGGCAAGAAAATCAGTAGGATATATACCTTAAGATGATTCATGCATACGGGCGATCGAACGTGATAAAGAAATGTACAAAATCAAATGGTCGATGATTTCCTTGATTCTGTTCATTCCTCCGTTTTCAACATTATTATGCTATGTTAAGATACCTATCTATTTCCATCTTTTAATAAAAATGATAACTGCAAAAAAAAAATGGTAAAATGTAGCGTCAACCTTTAAAAAAAAAAAAAAAAAGTGTTTGTGTTTTTATGCTGACGAAGACTGATGTGCAATGAACACGCAGTTAAACACGTGCAATCTGTATTGTCATTTAATCAAATTAACTGTTAATAATTAGTAAAACCTAGCTTAATTATTTCAAGTATGGTCTTCCTGTCAGCATCAATACTACCCTTGTGATTTGTCTTTTCAATTTCAATTTATTATTTTTGTCTTCTTTTTCTCAAAGCAAGAATCCTAATATTGGCCCATGTATTTCTTATCACATCCTTGTCGATAAATCGGAAATATAGTACCATTTTTTTCTCTAAAAAATTTATCACAGTAGATCCCACTTAAATATATGTAAAATCTACTTACAATTTCTGGTGAGAATCGAATCCTAGTCTCTTATCAAGAAGGACACTAATGTAATCATTAGGCTGTTATTTCAATCCCCAATAGTACCATTTAACAAATAGTGACAAGTAAAATGCATACTCTTTATGTCCTACCTCCTAAGTATAAAGTTCCATATACATATGTGAACGATATAGTAACCCAAAAAAATACGGAATGGTCTAATCAACAAGAAAACATGATTGTCGAACGGCATTTGTTTTATATATATTCTCTGCCGTAACGGAGATAAATTACGACTGACAATAAATTACTTTTAAATTAATCTTTTTACGGCTGATTAATTTAGTAAACATTCTTTGATCACTCAAGTGTAAAAAGTCAAGATTCTCTGACGTCCCACTATCGTAATCCCCTTTGTAACATCAATTGAATTTTATAACGAAGTAAACAATTTTTTTTTTTTAAAAAAAAAACTCTTTAATTTATAACTTATATGGGAGCTAGAGAGAATCATGTGCCCTGACCAAGTAACACTTACACTATTTCTACCTAACATTAATTTTACGTAATTATATATTATAAAAATATAATTATAAGAAAAGGATGCAATTTTATTTTTTTTTTCTGCAGTTATAAGTACATACGATAGGGGCCGCTGCGATGCGGCAGTCACGTGAAGTTGAGGTAGCTTGCAAAATAATCACCTCCCGTTGACTATTAAGAAAACAGAGATTAATTAACTATAACAAGACTTAAAAACTATGATTAGGGGCACAGATCCCGATTTACATTATCGCACAGTACATAGGACTGTAAAATAAGTACTACTAGTACTTTGAGATTCCTCCAACATTTGTCGTTGTTGTTGTTTGGGTTTGGTGCATAATAATGCGTTTGCACTCGATAACCTTTCTTCTTTTTTTTTTCTTTTTCTCTTTTTTTTTTAACATCTTCTTCATCTTTCTCCACATATGCAAAGTTAGAAAGAGAGGAAATGAGCAGCAGAGAAGATGTTGGTGGCAAAGGAAGAAAACTCACGTGCTGGGTTTTAGTTTTACTGTCTCTCTTTCTCTTTCTCGCTGGTGTTTGTATCTGTATATGAAGAAGATATATCATCATTGTGTAAAATTGTAGTAATGGCTTATGGCCCTTTTCAAGTTCTTTTCTTTTTCCAGGTTCATCCGGGAAACGCGGGGCCTCCATTACCATTTATCCCCTGAGTTCCTCCATTCCCATGTGCCCCCATATTCTTTCTTTTGCGCCTAATTCCCGTCTTGAAATAATTGTGTTGTTTGTGTGTTATAGTGTATATTTAAACAAAATATTTTGCGACAAGTTGAATATTATTAATTCACACCTGTGTACAATTTTACCTTTGATTTGCAATGTGACAATGTAATTTGATATCGGAACATAATTAATCAAGATGTGGTCGTGGTTAGGGCATGGCTTAAAAAACAGTATTATCTTGTGTTATGTACCATGTTAACATTCTTTTTATAAGATGTTCTTCCTTACAACCTACTAAGACTTGAGTTATGTTTGACCCTTCTGAAAAATAAACATCTTTTAACAAGTGATAATGACTAAATCGTTACTGTGAATTTTTCCTTGCCAAACTCTTGGTTGAAACGAAAAAATGATAGTGCCCTAGATCCTAATTTGTTTATTTCAACTTCCAATACTGTTTTCATCCATTGAGCATGTACTACCATTGATATTTGATATGTATAATGCCACTAGGTACTACGATTAGTATACTCATCCTAATAAAGGGGAGCATTATGGTTGTTAAATGTTGAATTTATCTCCGACAATCAAAGCGGCCACTCACATTAAGGTGCATCGTCACAACCGAACAGCTTTGTCACACCATCTTTTATATATATATATAATCGAGCTTTATTACTTTATAACTAATTAATTAGTATATGTAGAAACTAATAATAGTAGTATTAATTAATTATAATTAGATGGACGATTGATGAACATGGCTGCTGTTCACGCATGACCCATGCACAGGTTGTACAACCCTATATATGTTTAATTACTAGTATTTCGTAGCTTTCTTCTTTTCCACTTTAAACTCGAAGGTTTGGACACTTGTAATGAAATCGATGCTTCCTTTTTTTCTTTTTTTTTGGGAGGCTAATTGCTTTGCAAACCCTAATCCATTCCGTTATGTCCCTT